GCCACTGTGTCAGTCGCTGCTGTACTTCACCATCTGAAGAATTTAGGTCCATTTAATCATTCTTTTAATGAAAATCATTTGGATTTTGTACAGAATTCTAACTGTTCAGTTAATGGATGTATTTTGGATCTATAAAATGGCATTGTTATGTTCTATCCTGTTCTCTGCACCTTCCCTAGTAATCCCTAAAAACAGACTTGTCTTTTTGACTACTACAAAGTATTGAGCTGATATTTATATGGAACTGTTCATTACAAATCTGAGATGCCACAACTTATTAGTTATGGCTAAATCAGTTCATGACTAGGTAATCTTATAAAAAAAAAATGGAGCATTATCCTCTGGTCAGACCCTACTTACTGGAGACTGAACAGAATAGAGGTTTCACTTTTACTTCTCTAACTAAACAAAGTCAGAAATAAAATGATACATGTTAGCATTTGTCTTGAATTACGCAGCTTTGGTAGCACATACATGCATATTAATATACCTACATGACAAAACTGAGTAAACCTACCATGACAAAATGCAGGTAAGACTCAGCCTAAGGTGATCAGTCCTTATTCGGATGTTTGGATGGAAAGTGGGTTTTCTCTGCTTGTAGCAATGGTGCCTGTGCACTAATATAACTCTACGTTCTTTATATAGTGAGATTTCAAGGGAAAATGGTTCTCCAACCCAAACCATTTTTATCTATTGCAAACTTTGCAGATGCAGAAGGTTGTACATGACTACATTATGTATGAAATACAATACTGTTGTGTAAGGTGGCTTAGTTTTAGAAAAGTTTTGCAACCTCCTCATGAACGGCAGCTTTCATTTTCATTTCTCTGCTAAGTTATTGCTGAGGATGCGTTCTGAAACTAAAGTGTCTGTGCTCAGGGTAGTGATGGTGGTGACAGCGTCTGTGGAGTTTTCTGTAGCAGTGAAATTTCTTTTTCTCACACATATCATTCTTTAGTAGCATGGAATATCACGTGCCCTTATATTACCAGCTGCTCATTGTGAAACCCATCCACAATTTGTCATACTCAGCTTTAATACCTTAGTTCCATCAGCAAATGGTTGTATTGCTGCATAGATAATTTATAAACATGTGGAATAGTTGAGAAATCAGCACGTGCCCTCCCTCTAGAATGGTAAAAATTGACATCAATGTTCCTTCTTAAATTACTGGATATATTTTCCATGCCCTCTATTCTGTCCACAATTAGTTGTCACTAGAAGACCTCAGTATCTCCAGAAAGATTGCTTAACAACACAGCTGTGGCTGTAAAAGAAAACTGAGCGGTGGAATTCTACTGGCGTGCAATTAGCCATGGAGTGCTCCAAAGGGAAGTACTCTGCAGTTTACAATATATCACTGTGTATTATTTCTTAATTTATGCAAAGCACTGTTTGCTTTGGCTTAGTCATTCTCCTTTACCTTTTCAGTTGTGATTTTTATCAGGCATTTCTTAACAGCTGAGTAAGTTTAGCACTTATGTGATTAACTGTGAAAAACTGAACACAGGATTCAAATCCTAATCACTGGCAAGGAAAGAAGAGAGTACACATTGGATCTAAAGTGAAGTTCTGCTGCATTTGGGAGTCTGATAGGAGAAATCTCAATCTGTATTGAAATTTATTTCTACGGTCACATGGTTCCTCTGAAAATGCACAGCTGAATTTTCCACGCAATGTTCAGACCACTTATGTATGTGTTTGTTGGTTCGTTGGTTCGTTGGTTCGTTCGTTCGTTCATTCATTCATTCATTCATTCATTCATTCATTCATTCTTTGCCATTCTTCAGTTTTTCTTTTTTTTTTTTTTTTTTTTAATTATTTTTCAAGATACAGGTGATTTGAAAAGCTCTTTCTGCCTGCTGCTATTCCATGTATTTTCAAGGCCCAATGGGACTCTTCTGCAGAAACCTAATCTTTCTTTCCCCTTAAAAGAGAGACAGAAGACATCTCTCTTGTTATCTTTGATTCTTGAAGTTTACTATAAGATAGTCTGGAAGTTTCTGTCTTATTCAAGCACGTGAAGCCAGATGTTTGCTAATGTAGTCTGTTTCTGAGTTGTATCAGGCTTCATTTAGAGCTTGACTTTTTGTAATGCCACATCCTCGGCCTCTGGAAAACCAACAACACACCTCTTGGGTCTGGCAGAAAATAGGAGGGGGAAGGGGCTCCGTTTCCCCTATGAAATAGTAACTATAAACCAAGGCCTTGAGCCTTAGTGTGAGGAGAACAAATAAAGCTGGAAATTCCCTATGGGGACTAAAGAGACTGAGTCTCAAAGCAAACTTGAAGGGGAAGGTCTATGACCAATACCCCAAAAGTCTGGGCTGCCTTTGTTCTGTATCTCAGTAGCTCATGGGAAAGAATGGGAACCTCTCAGGCACAGCATGAGGGCTGGCAACGAGTTATGCAGTTATTTATTATTTATCTATTTATTATTTATTATGAATTATTTTCCTCATGAAAAATAGTTGTGATGGCTGTGGGTCTTGGCTGTGCTCTCCATAGATAGCCATACTCTGAGCAGTTTGTCAATCTTTATTTCACAGCTTTTTAACTCTAAATATCTGACTTACTTAACTGTTCCTCCTCATATAGCTAGGTCAGACCCTGAGGGAGGACTTCCACTTTGAAAAGAAACAAATGGGGAAATGAATGCAACCTTTTTTTTCTATAAAATCTCAATTCCATATAGACAAAAGGGGAACAAAAGGGAAAAGAATGCTAAAATGATATATGAGAGAGGAATGTGCAACAGAGTACTGTGCAATCTATGACTAATTTGGTACCTTTTGAAACAATATACAAATGATAAATTTCCCTTCAAATTATCCTCTCCTATGAGGCAATGACTGAAGTATGGACTACAGAGGCAAGCCTTGAGAGACCACACATGCACACACACAAAAAGTGATAGCTAAGAAGGGGAAACTTTGACTGATTTTGAACGTTCCTTGGCTTTTCTGTTATGGTTTTCCCCATGATAGCAGTATTAGTTTGTCTTAATATGTCTCCTAGCATTACACAACCAATTATCTCTTCATCTGGTCATAGCCCCTAGACCAAAGATTTACTTCTATGTCTGTGACCACTCTTTCTTTTTTCTATTACTGTAGTTTCCACTGGAAGATAATCAAATAATAATAAAAAAAAAGCATAGATGTTTGAGGGTTTTTTTGTGTTGTGATGATACAATTGTTGGTTAACTTTTGTTCCCTTCATTTTTTTTTCCCTTCATTCATCCTTTATTTTGTTAGGGATTTTCAAACATATACTTTGCTCTATATGGTCCTTACTGTAAGCTACTGGCTTCAAATGTAGTTTCTGCATTTTCTTTTCAAGAAATGCAGAAACTTTTGTCATTTATACTTTGGTCATTTATATCCTCCAATTATTGCAGAAAGATGTACTATGTCACTGGGTATGAAGAAGGACATAGCATCTATGTCTGTCATATTAATTTTAATTTCACAAAAATATGAATATTTTTCAATATTCTAAGTTGTCTGGCAGAACTGTTTCACTAACAGGCAGTAATGTAAAACCTGACACTAATAATCTTTCCTTACCTCTTGGCTTATTTATTTTTTCTAGGTCTCCTTGAAAATAGTTACAGTTCTTAATCTGTGTTACCTTCAAGCTGAATTAATGGATTGATTTTTAACTACAGTCTCACCAACAACTGCAATCATATTGATATCAAATCTCCTTCCAGAATTTGACTTTTATCTTCAGACAATGATGAAGGTGGATGCTTGGATGATTCCAAGTGCCTTTTGATGCAGACCCATGAAAACTATGCCAAAGATTTCAAGGGCGAATTCATACAATCGGTGTTTGTGGCCCCATGGCTATGCCACTGCAGGGCAGCAGCCTTTTGTGGCTGCCGGTAACAGCGTTACTTCCTCAGATCCCATGGCTGTATTTTGTGCTGGGGAGGTGAGCCTGGGCACCAGCATCACGATGACCCAGGGAGTGATCTTGCACATTCTCTGGTACATAACTCCTTGTCTTTGTCCTCTTAGTAACTTGAACACAGTTTCAAATTAACTTTCAGAGGAGGGTGACTCATGGAAATCAAACCAGGTAACAATAAAAGCCTAACCTATACTCGGTTTCCTATAAGGAAACTATGCAAACATAACGTAGACTGTAAGAATAACGTAGACTCTCAGAGGGTTTCCCCTAACAGTTTCACGATAAAACCAAGTCAGCTCATGCTGGGAAACCCTGACATAGCCACAGAGCAACACAGTGTGACAAAAGGAGAAACTCCAGCAATAAAGCAAATGTTATCAAGATCAATCCTCTTTTATGTGCGTGTGTAAGGAAGTGGGACTTCCTCTTCTCTGCTCGTTATGGGCTCTTTCAGATGAGAAAACCCCTGGGAATTTATGTAGATAATAAGAACAAACTCACAAAAGCAGGACTCCTCCTCTCCTTGAGGGATTGTTGCAGCTGAAACTAGTGCATCTGAGAGCTCTTAACTGCTTTGCTGCAGAACTGAAAGGAAATCAATCCGCCTAAGGAGGATATGGATAGTTAGGAAGATCTAAATTACTGTTATTTACCATGCAAAACAATCCTGTTCTCAACCACCTAGCTGCTAGGTTAGGTTAAATTGAAAGGTTAAATTAAATTCAAATGCTCTGCAGATTTTATTCTTCCTAATACTATCACCTTGAAGAAGTAGAACAGCTTCCGAGGAGGTCAAGAATAGAGTGTCCTATCTCCCTGGATATCTGGGACATATGGAAGCCTCAAGAACACTGCACCTAGTCCATACTTTGCCATCAGAAACTGCTGCTTCCAGCACGCTGCCTTCTGCAGGAAGTAGGCTGAGGACTTTGCAGTGGGTGCCTGGCTGGCTTCCCAACAACATTTAACTCTGCTGGGATTATGAAAGGGAAACCTGGGGTTACCCAGGAAATCAGTAACACAGGGAGTTGCTCTTGCTAAGCTTTAATCAGAAGATATCGCAACTGTTTCCTTTTCAGTGGAGCTTTAGGGGCCTCAAAGATCCTGGCAGCTGAGGACAGTTACGATGAATGCACTCCAGACTTGCGGAGTGTCACCACTCCTCTGCACGTGGGAGTGGAGGGAATGAACCATCATTTTCATTTTCATTTTTAATGAGGCAAATGAACTAAGAAAGCTGAGAAAGACTGATCACAGATGGGTATGCTCAGTTTGTTTTAGGTGTTTACTCTGCTACTGGATAGTTCACGCCAGGTTACTGGATGCTGACACAGCAACCTGAATTATGGAAATACCAGGCATTTCTTGCTGATATGTAGTAAGCCAGAGGGCAGTATGTAATCAAAGGTGGTAAGAAATGGCAACTTCCTCCTTCCGGTGAGCTTTTCAGGTTTCATGTGAATGCTAGGGTTAGACTGTAAACTGACTTATTCCATGACTAATATACTTACCAGTCTGATTAGACCTATCTGAAATCTACAACACATTTATGCCAACATTTTTTTTTAGCTTTTAATCATGACAGAGTTGATCACATTTGTAATACATATTTCAAATTTGGAGGAGACAGAATATAGCTTTTTGTGCTCATGCAAGTCCAGCTTAGGCCAAAGCCACTTATAATAGATCCTTTCATAAAGAAATGTGCCCCTTATGATAATCTGTCATACAGAGCTGAATAGGAAGTGTGAAGGGCCTTGTGTGCTCCAAGAGCCACTTCAGCAACAGCAGAAACTTAAATGTTCATGCTGACGCAGGCAGTAAAACGTCCTGTGAGGACAGGGAAGTAAAAATAAAGATAATTAAAATTTTACCCATCTTATTTACTAGACTTCTAAAGAGCTAAGTACAGCATGCTGGTATCATGGTGTAGATAATGGGGCTTGTGAAATGAGGAAATGCAAGCTGCTCTGGAAAGATATGTGCGGAACTGCTCAGTGACCATGACTTTCCAGGAGTACCTAGGACAGGCTAGAGGACTGGAGTGCAGATAATGCTGTGCCATCACACCTGGGGATGTTTCCTTCTGGAAATACTTGGCATGTGATGCTGGAAGGCTTTCAAGGCATGGCTCAGGCCACTAGCTACTTTGGATCTATGTTCTGGGTCATCTCTCTTCCTCTACTTCTTACCAGTAAGGAAATACCCTCTACAGCTGGGAGTTTCTCACAACTTGACAACGCTATTTACAGTAATTCCTCCACCTCTTCTCTATAGGACAGAGTATCTCTACTTCCTTGTCTGCTTTTCTTCATTTCCCCTCCCTGAAGTTAAAGGAAAGATGACTTTCAGTTTTTACCTCTTGTCAAGACCAGGAAACAATCAGTCTGAATGTTAGGGAGGAGTGGAACATAGGTGAACTCAACAGTGATAACATTCAAGAGAAGCAACATTGTTGGTGTTGTAAAAAAAAAAAAAAAATTTTGGGTTTTAAAAAAAAAAAAAAAAAAAAAAAAAAAAAAAGATATTTATGTACATGTGGATAGGGAAGAGGTGCAGACAACTTACTTGCCAGTACACTTGCAACCTATACAATACAATGAATAAATTTAATAGCTTTTTTTTTTAGACCCAATCCTATGTTTGGTTTCATACAGCTCATGGTTGCATACATGTAGAGCCTACACCCTAGTTGGTCATTTTCCCTTCATAAAATATATATATTTTTTACTGTCTAGATGTAATTCCTTTTTAGTAGTGCAGGAGTCATTCTGGTCATTCGGTTGACCCTTAGTTTTATCTTAATCTCAGTATTTTGGGAAAATGACTTCTTCCTAGAAACCAAACTACTTATGCATTATCTCAGGTCACTGCATTAGCTTTCCTGAGTTTGTTTTACCATGAAGACAGTGCATCCTCTGAGATTTCTTTCTGTGTATTTGTCCATGTCATACCCACCAAAATGGGGACTTTGAAGTCAAAAAACAGTGAATACCAGCCAGTGTCCTGAGCGACTTGGGTGCATGGCTTCTAGTTGGCCAACTATAGCTAGCAGTTGTATAACTTTGCTCATGAGTGCGGCCGATCTAGCAACAGATAAATAGGGACAGGCCACGATGGGTGTCGGTGGAGCTGGTGGTGGGAGGGCTCTGGATTATCGGGCATTTTGGATGATGCCTTAGAGAGGATGATGCACTGCGGATTGTAGGAGGAAGGCTGCAAGGTGTAGTTGTCAGGTACTGAAGCAGGCAGAGGGATATTGGGTACTCAGGTGATTGTTGCTGGAGCTGTAGGTCTAGGTGTACCAAACACAACAACGAGACAGTCTCTGGGCGACTGTGAGAATTCCTGCCCCTTCCACTTCCATCCCAGGGGACTGGGTTATGCCCTACTGTGCATGAAAAAATAACTCTTCTTCCTCATTTATCTGACAGAAGACACTACTATACTTATCTGAAATGATTTCACATTTATTTCACTATTTATTGCTATTGCTCTGAAATACAGGTTTCTGCGAAGAACCATCCAGTCAGTCAGGTTGAGCTTTAAGCATAAAAAAGTCTGTGTGTAAAAAAAGTGATTCTTCGGGGAGTTTCCCAGTACATAGTAAATCTATATTAACAAGCTTTCATATACAACCTTGGTTCTAGTAATTAGTGTTTCTACAAAGGTAACAAAAATAATACACATGTACAGAGCTGGAATTTGGCTGGAAAACATCCGTCCATCTCACAGATTTATTGGTCCATAAAACAAGCCTTCTTTTGAATTTTTTGGAATTCTTTTTAAAATTTAACACTATAAAAATCTGATACAGTTTGTGACATAGAATCATTAATGTTTAGAGATAATCTAGTCCAAAATCAGTCTCCCTCTGCTCAGCCCTGGGGAGGCCACATCTGGAGTACTGTGTCCAGTTCTGGGCCCCTGCATTACAAGAGGGATGTGGTGGAGTGTCCAGCGCAGGGCTACAAGGACGATCAGGGGCCTGGAACATCTGCCCTATGAGGAAAGGCTGAGAGAGCTGGGTCTGCTCAGCCTGGAGAAGAGAAGGCTGAGGGGGGACCTGATCAGCGTGTATAAATACCTCAAGGGAGGCAGTGAGGAGGAGGGGGCCAGCCTCTTTTCAGTGGTGGCCAGTGACAGGACTAGAAGAAATGGCCACAAACTGAAGCCCCAAAAGTTCCACAGGAACTTAAGGAAAAATTTCTTGACAGTGACGGTGACAGAGTCTCGGAACAGGCTGCCCAGAGAGGTTGTGGAGTCTCCTTCTCTGGAGATCTTTAAAACCCGCTCGGATGCAGCCCTGTGCCACGTGCTCTAGGTGACCCTGCGCGTGCAGGGGGGTTGGACTAAATGATCTCTAAACCTTCCAACTTCAATTATTCTATGATTCTATGATATCAGGGAGGTTGAAGTCCCCCGTGAGAACCAGGGCCTAGAACAAGGCTATTTCCATCTGTCCGTAGAAGGCCTCATCAACTTTCTCATCCTGATCATGTGGCCTGTAGCAAATGCTTAACACAGTATCTCCTACATTAGCCTGCCCTCTAATCCTTACCCACAGGCTCTCAACTCGCTCATCGTCCACCCCTCGGCTGAGCTCCATGCTTTCCAGTTGTTCTCACACATAAACAGCAACTCCACAACCTTGCCTTCTTAGCCTGTCCTTAAAAAACATATAGGAAAGATATCCTTTAAGTTAATATCCCTTAAGTTACCAAAAAAGACAGAATCAAAGCAAATCAACTCAAATTTAAATATACTGCCTATGCTACTGCCAAAAAATATAAAATCATTCTTGAGTGCTACAGTCTTACTTTATAGCATATGCCTGAAGATAAATTTTATGGTTCAGATAAGGCCATTTGAAAATAGACTTTTATGAATCTTTTATTATAGAGGGCTCTTTAGTGGGCGCCACTGTAATAAAATCATATCTCTGTAAGACAGATCATAATGTCACTTTGCCTGTTACCATGCAACAGAGTGTTGTTCCAAGCCAGTAAGCGTACACAAACATGCTCCAGTTAGCGACAAAAATGGTTTAAGTTATCCTCTGTGCGTAAGCTGTAGCTTCAATGTTTCTCAAAATGGGAATGAGATTTTGTTTTGTCACTGGAAAGCTCAGGCTTTAAACAACCTAAGAGCTATAAATGGTTTGACCCTAGAGCCTGATCCTCCAATCTGTGGGGAATCCCCAAAGGTAATGACGGTGACTGCTAAACATTTGCTTACCACCTGCTGTAAAATGAACAAGGATGACCTTCGTCATTCATACTTGCTTAGCTGTAGCTTCATTCCTGTCTCTTTTTGCCTTCTCCAACCAGCTTTCAATATGATAAAGCCTGGGTATAGTTTTGGGGCTGTTTTCCTTAAAGGTCGTACGTATGAGGCTACTTTGGCTCTCTTCCCACATACAGTCCTTCCACAATATAGCAGCAGCCTTTGCCCTCCCATCTCACTCCACACACTCTTGCACCATATCCCTGGGCATGCAACACACACACCCTAAACTGTTCGCTATAAAAACATAGTGCTGATGGACTGCAGTACACCTACATTAGTTTAGACCCTGTGAACTGAAGGGTACAAGACAGCACATGGAAACAACAACCATCTTAGAAGCAGTAGGCACTGTACAGGGAGACCTAGGTCTAGTCTGCTAGGCTCAGAGCTGAGCACAGGTGCTCTTGACATGAGCCAGTTTCTGCCACCCTGTGGCTTCTTTTATATGGCTGTAGTAAAGAAAAACAAAAGGAAAGTAAGTAAAACAGTACAGGAAATGCCATTTACCATTCACAGCATTTACTACTGCTGTGGCCCAGTTTTGGCCCATAACCACGTGCACTCCCTCAGATGATGGCCAGGAGAGTACAGACCTGGGACCACAACGTGGCCAGTAGGGCCACACTGTTCTGGAAAGAAAAAGGGTTTGGCTACACTAGTTTGGCGTAGGTTTGGCAAGAGTTTGGCTACTGCCCCACTGGCTTGTACAGCCAGAAAACACCTCTCCAGCCCAACTTAAAAATACTGAGGTGGCTAGTCTTTCAAAGAAGTCGATATTACAGTTTATTAAAGCAAATGTCAAAGAAAAACACTACCTAAACTGTTTATGCAGTGTAAGTTCTTCTTTGCTGTAATTTCCTTTGTTAACATGGTGACCTAATTGGCTGAACCTGGTATGTTTTTAGTGCAGCTAAACAAAATCCAGG